TACAGCAAAAATCTACTAGATTTTATCCAAGATTTTGACCCAATTAAATGAATCGGAATATATATATCTATATATATATATATATATATATGTTTATTATATATAAATATAAATATACAGTACAGTGTTAGTTAATTTCAAGGATTAACATCAATTGAAATTAAGCGAAATTATTTACAAAACTTGACTTCTAAGCTAATATTTCGTAGTAAAACCTTGTATTTCTAAAACAGTTTTACATTTCCGCGACATTGACTCCACCAAATTCTGACACTTTTTGTTCGGTATAGAATACCATGCACCTTCGATTTGTTCCCATAATTTCTCCTTGTTGCTTATTTTTTGTGATGTAACCTTATCCTTCACTAGTATCCACAAAATTTTTTTCGATTGTACTGCCCATATCATAACATATACCCATTTGACGGGCATTTCCCATTCGGCGTAAGATAGCATCACTTCACTAAGAATGCAGCAGTACAAATTTGTATCCATTTTTTCGTTGAACCAATATATTGGCCCCACTCCATACCAAAAAAAGCATACATATGTTTTCAGGGCGTCTGACCCAGACTTTTCCATTACTGCCAATTATATTTATTTTAGATTCATCATACAAGAGTATATTTCGCCATTTTTTGACAAGTATCGGACCTTTCCACTTTATATGCCAACGATTTTGCAGAAAATGTGTTTTAAGTTTTCAATTTACATAGAACAGAAGAAATTCTATAGTGTCTCAATCAGAGTGTGTAAGAGATATTCATATGCATTTTTTACATAACATAGTTTCTATTTTTATAATGGGACAATCCTGGACGTTCTTCCGTGACAATAACTTAATGTGATCATCGTTTTTAGCAGACGTTTTCGATGTCTACCACTTAACTCTTAGCATATTATTTTTTTTTTCTTGTATGCCAAATTTTTGTGATCTGCCAATAGATTTTTGCATTTTGGCCTTGGCTTTTTAAGTTTTGTTTTTTTTTTCAATAATAGAACGCCCAGTGTCGTTACAATATTTGCTCGGCCCATATTTTTGGTATAGAAAAAATTTGTGAATATGTAAATTTAATTTAAACTTGTCACATTTCACGATTAGAAGTTTTTCTGATAGGTTGTTACTGTAATTTACCGTTGATCCTATTTTTTAATAGTTTTTTTTCATGGTTACATGTGACATTTATCATTATCGACCATTTGGACAGATCTTACATTAAATTTTGCAAATCTATTCTACAAAACAGGTAGATTAGCAACATACTAATGAGGTACTTCCTGAATTTTAAATATCTCTTAGATAAAGGAAGAATACCCAATTTTTTGACCAAGGTTATATAGGTTAAATGGAAAACAAAGTAAAAGCCAAATAAAAATGCGATCAATATTTCAGCCTCTTCCCCAACATATGTATATTTACAACTTTGTCGATTGTTACATGCAATTAACCCAGATAAGGCCGGAGAATTTTGCTTCAAAATCATAAAATAAATTTTAAAACGTTATTAGTACATTTACATTGTACCGGATTAAGTTAACCCAGTAGGTTATAATTGTCAATTCCATTACATATTTGTCTAATACATCCTCATAATGAAGGTTAACCCCTGTAGAAAGTTCTAATGTACAAGTCGTTTAATATAAGTAAGTTATTGACCATATTGGCTTTTTTCATTACATTAAATGAAATAAATGAAATATGTTATTTACAATTAGTTTTTTTTCAACAAAAAAAGGAGACAACAATAAAATATTATAATTTATAGAAATGCACTGATATAATGTTTTTTCTAGCAGTGGTATTGCCATTTTTTGTGTTCTTTTAAAAGTACGATGAGTTATTTTTGACAAATAATACATGAAATTAAATGTCCTGTCACTTGTAATAAGGCAGAGTAGCTCAACAATATTTTTCCCATTTCATGCCAGTTAATATATTTTGAAGAATTTTTCAAATTTGTTTTTCAGTTGTATTATTACAAATAATAAAGCGAAACTATCAATCTTTTCAGAATGCAATATAAGAATGTGTACGTGTATAAATATCTATTAAGACAAAAGCAAAAACAATTGTTGAATTTATTTTTATAAAAACTATATATATGTTTTCGTTTTTTGTTTATAACACACAAAATCATAGTGCTGGGAACCATAATTCCAAACAGTTTTTTTTTTATTTCTAAACATCTCATCATAGCCATATTTAATTTTAGAAACTGTGTTATATTATATACAGCGAATATTTTGAATGGGAACTGTTTTCATAACAATACACACTCCGAGCATACACACATTCGTATATACACGTATAGATTGATTTTTTAAAGCAGAAAAAAGTTGAAAAAGCGCCTTAACAATTCAAGTTCGTTTTCTCGTGTGTTGTCAAATTTTCTAATATTTTATTATTTTTGTTTTTTTTTATTTAATAAAAATGGATAGTGAACTTGTTCGAGAAAAAGTTGCCTTATTTGGCATTAATGCCAAACATGACCATGTCATTTAGTGCAACAACAAATTACAAATCTTAGAAAACTTTGTATCTCACAAAGGGGAAATTTGTAAAGCGTTCACTACTCACCGTAGAGCATTTTCTGATTTGAAAATGATTATGAGTCATATTCATTTCAATTCAAGTAAATGCAAAACTATGATGTTCTAAAATAATTTTATTATTATTTCTAATAACGGAATCAGGCTGTCGTTTATGTAAGCCTGAACATATTTGTATACAATCAATTAAATTATAGTCAAATAATGTAGTCAAAATTTTGAAGAAGTAGGGAGGCTTCTAAATAAAAAGTGTTTTATTAATAAGGTAACAGTATGTACAAATTATTTCTTTTTGTTGAGTTATCAAGCAAACCTTTGTAGGTGAGTGAGTTAGGGGCAATGGCAATTGTATTTTTAGTGGCACATTTTAAAATATAAATAGTAAAACTATTACCAGCCCGTGCTGTTGACAGATTTATACCCTCAAAATATGGTGACAACACTGATGTCAATGTTTCAAAAACTAGTATTAGCAATGTTTATTATGGATTTTTGCGTTGTGAAAATTGAGACCATATGTGAGGAGGAACCAATAGGAATGGACCTACTAAATCTATATTTACAGAAAATCTATTTATTTGAGACAGATTTCACGATTTATTATATTATTATCATATTGTTACGCCATATTTTGAAATAGAATTGACATCGCATTAATTTTATAAAAGTATTTCTTTCTTTTTTTAATCCCCAAAATAAAATTGGAAAACATTAATGAAAATCTATCAACGTTATATTTCTATCGCTTCCACATATTTTCTCTAATCGAGCCACTGTCACTTGCATGTGAAACAAATATGAAACTGCTGGAAATTGCGAATTATTCTATGAAGGAAGATTAACTGCTTCAAACATTTAATTGTACCAGTTCCAGATAGAGGGCAACGTATTGATGCAGGAAGCTTAAATGTTCCCGGGGAACATACCAAATCAATTTTTCTTTTATTGTTCATTTTATTTCTAATATTAAATGCAATACAACACTAAATCGATGCTCAGTATAAATATTAATGTTTGAAATACACGCAGGATTTACTATTCGTTTTATATATGTTTAACATAGAGTTGACCCTATGCAGAGATGTACCAGAGGAAGTTGCCGTAGAGTCCATTTTCTAATTTAATATAGGTTTGGTCGAATATTACAATGTGGAATCAATGGATCAAATCTGTTTCTTTAAATGCAATTTACATGATTTTTTTTAATGTAGATCATTTGTGGAGCAGGCATCGGAAGAAGTGGACCAATGGGTACCATCGTCGGGCTAGATCTTGGCTTGGCAAAAGTATTACTATTTCCACAGTTCGTATCAAATTGGCCATTCTATTCGCTTTATATTGGATTAAAAAAAAATTAACGTATGTGGGAGAGTTACCAGAAGGAGAAAATGTTTACTCTTTGTAGGGGGAGGTACTATTTTCCATCATTTATGTACTTAAATTTTCCATCATCTACTATGTGCCTCTATTGTAAATTTGTGGGTTTGTTAAAAAATACATTTTCAAAGTCTCAAAATAAAATTGATAACCCTGAATGCAAATCTATCAAATTTCCATTTTATAGCTTCCACATCTTTTCTCATATGTGTAACACATATGAAAATGGTTAATTATTCTATGAATAAAGATTAACTGCTTCAAACTTTCCCATCAAACAGATTGAGCAAATTGAATATAGGAGGACATTTAATAAAGAACAATTTACAATATTATTCGTACCAAATTTTCCTGTTGGATAATATTTAAAAAACATAATTTATCATATTCATTTTGACACGAGAATTACGGTACATTTTATAATTGTACCACGGTTTATTACTAATAATATATTTAATAAATCCACTTGATTTATTAAATCTAATCGACTATTATGACTTTAACTATTGATAGCGTTCTATCTTCTAATGTCGACTTATGTATCCCTAAGTTATTTAACCTGTTTTGACAGCTGATCGATTTGCAGACAGCTGTTTGGTTGGTTCTCGGATAATTTGCTTTCTCCTCAGTTTACAGGGTTGTAATTTGAAAAACAATGAATATGAGCTACCCTTAAATATGTAAACAATGTGATGGTAACTCACCATCTTCAGGGGGCTGCTGGCTGGACTAGACTCAGAGACATTAGACAGGGAGAATGCTAAATGTTTTGTAACTACCTTGCCTTTCGTAATATCGTCGTCAATATAAACAAATAGACATCAAGCAAAATACATATAATAGATTTGTTACACCGATTGAGATTCGATTGAGCAATAATAGGAGGTATGTTATGAACATTTAAATATATCCCATTGTTCTTGTGTAAATACTTTGAACCCAAGGTTCATTCAGAATATTTTCGTCTAATAGACATTTTACTACAGTATTACATTCATATGATAATTGCCTTTTCAGTTTCAGCAGAGACGGTCAAAGATAAAGTTTAATTTCCAAAAGTGAAAGTTTCAAACATGACCGACATACAGCGCATTATACTCATAAGTGGAAAGAGGAAATGTGGGAAGGATTTCATATCAGAAAAATTAAAACAAAGGTACGTAATCAATTTTACACAGGACGATTGTTTTCATGTTAGCATTTAAGACTAGGTGACCGGTGTCAAATTGTTAGGATATCGGAACCAATAAAATCGGAATGGGCAAAAAAGATGCAGCTTGATTTAAAAGAGCTGCTAAGTGATGGACCCTATAAAGAGAAATATAGAAAAGCCATGATCGATTGGAGCGATGAAGTTCGAAAGCAATGTTATGGATATTTCTGTAAGACTGCAATGGAGAAAGGTAAGCAACCACATTGAATTGTTTAAATTGTACTTCCATGCAATAACTATTTCACTTCACTGTATTGTTTTTCATATTAGCCAATTCGGAAATTATAGTTGTAAGTGATGTGCGCAGAATGAATGACATTCGCTATTTCCATGAAACATATGGCGACAAAGTTGCCTGTATGCGCCTTACGTGCCCCGATTCGATTAGAATTGAGAGGGGATTTGTATATACACCTGGTATAGATGATATCGAGTCAGAGTGTGGGCTAGATAACTACAACAAATGGGATCTGGTGTTGGAAAATGACAATAAGCTGAGTTCGGATCATTTAATTAATTTAATTATTGAAAAATTCTCACTATAATGTTATTTAGGTTATGGCATTTTTTACCATAGTATTCCAACATCAACATTTCATAAGGGAATTGCATAGAATTAAAAATATATATGCGATTTCTGCAAATATGATAGAATTAAAAAACACCAAGTATTTTTTATATCGACAACACTTTAATAGGAATAAGAGAGTTAAAAAACTTAAAAACGCATGTAACCTATATATACACAAGAAATCAATTTATTTATTAAAATATATATATTAAATGAAAATATCTTAATCGAATTGTACGCATATCATGTGTTCAGTTTTAAAATTTCTAAATTATTTTTATTAATAAATATTTTGAAGTCCTATGCCTATAAAAATTATATATGTTGTAACATCCATGGCAATTCGTAGCCTTGGAAAATATATAATAATTTGTTTAATTTTTTGAAAATATGCCTTTCGACATACATAACATTTTATGGAATTTATTTGAAATGGATATATGAATTCCATATTAAAAAGGTTTGGCATTATCAATTTCTCAAATGAGACTACCTTCCATAATTATACCATATACCATGACTTTTATTGGTTGTAGCTCAAATCGATTAATTCATCTTCATTACACTCTACACCAACTCAAAATCTACAAATAATTAATCAGCGACATTGAAATCAAGATTAGTGCATACCACCATTCTCCGAGAACGACATTTCAAGAGGCACCTTGAGCATGTTCAAAAGTGTTATCAATCCTAAGTGGACAGCGACTATGAAACAGCTGATCACATATGTCGTCTCACGGTATATTTAACAAGGTAGCCGCAAAAATGTTGCTGTAGTGTAGAAGCAAAAAAATTAAAAAACAATATTATAAATTAAAATCTCCGAATTTTGAAGAGCTTGTTTGGCAATACTTTTATTAACATTTTCTACAAGAATCTGTGTAAAAAAATTCTATGAATGTGTTTGTTTTGGCAAAATATTTTCGACATATCAAAATACAACAACTGATGTTTGTTGTAGAAATTCGCCGATGCGGCTACCTTATATATCTACCATGTGTCGTCTCGTTTGTTTTCACTTCATTTCCATGGTTGTAATTTGCGCAAACTGAAGAATGTGATCTGCCCTTGAATAAGACGAAATGGGTCGAAAATGAGCTCCAAACAGCGTGGAAAGGGTAATCGTCGTGGTGGAGGAGCTTCCAACCAAAAACAATATCGTAATGTGAAATCTAATCGGAATTGTGAACGATCCTTTGCTCAAAGAGAGAGCGAACTTGCTTCGGATTCTGATGATACCAGTTCATCTTCATCGGAGCATGACATTGAAGGCCATGGAACCCAACCAGATTTCCCCGTTGCAATGTGGGACTTAAACCACTGTGATCCAAAAAAATGTTCCGGGAGGAAATTAGCACGTTTGGGGTTGATTGAAAATCTTCGCCTAGGACAGAAATTTGCGGGACTTACCCTATCTCCTGTGGGTGTACACTGTGTGAGTCCATTGGATAGAGAAATTCTTCAGTCTTCAGGGTGCGCAGTTATCGATTGTTCATGGGCAAAGCTAGATGAAACGCCCTTTTCAAGGATGAAAAGTCCACATCCACGCCTTCTGCCATTTCTTGTGGCAGCCAATCCTATCAACTACGGCAAACCATGTAAACTGAGCTGTGTGGAAGCAATCGCTGCAACTTTATACATTTGCGGATTTCGTTCGGAAGCCCAGTGGTACATGGGAAAGTTCTCGTGGGGTCATTCGTTCATAGAGCTTAACGAGTCTTTACTAGAAAGATATGCAGCTTGCAAATCCAGCGAAGAAATTCTTGAAGTGCAAAACAGTTACATCAACGAAGAGCAAATTGCCCGAAATCAACCAAAAGATTACAAGGAATTTTACCCAACCAGTAGTAGTAGTTCAGAAGATGACGAATAAAGTATCAAATTTCCTAACAAAACATACATGCAACATAATTATCAATACGTTTCATTAAAAAATGACAGAAATTTAACATATTTGGACACTCTACTACGTTTGAAAGACCGGACAAAAGAAACTTCGTTTCGTCCTAATAATCCAAATATCCATATATATCAGATATTGTTTATTTTTTCATTTCTACTGATATTCTCCGATAAAGAAAATAATATAAATTTAATAAAGATCTTTACAGGTTAAATATATGATTGGGGAAAATAATAAGATCTAAAAAAAAAAAAATTAATATGGAACCTACTAAAATCATTGTGTGTGGCGATGATATTCTGGGGTAGCATTAACAAAACTCGACATGCTAAAGAATGTAGCACTATTTTTTACCAAATACTTTAGAAAATCGTGTAGATGCACGAGCAGCAGCTGCATAGATTTCTCATCTAGGTCAGAATAGCCCAACATTGATCCTAATTTTACAAATAAACGTAACAGGTGGAACGACCCGTACAGTTTGGATAAAGGAATATCTGGATATTGCTGCAAAATATCTGCATACTGTGGACGTTCAAATTTGTACAGAAGCTGAGATCCCAACATAACATTGAAGTATTCCACTACTCCATTGAGAACGTCTGTAATGGCTAGTTCCTTGCCGGCATTTGTTGATTTTGCTGATTTTTTGAAACTTATGTACTGGTCAACGATATCCTGTACTGTTATTTTTGCGGGTATATCTAGAAGTTTGTGTTGCCTAGTTATAGCATCCCAATCGTCTGCCAGGCATTGTTTCAATTCGTCGGGGATTTTTATTTTCACTTCAATTTTTGAAAGGAAAGTCTCTTCACTTTCAACGCATGGGTCCAGCCGAACACTTGTCTGAGATGCCGGATTTACAGTGCTACTGTTGGCCAATGCAGCCGGGGAAGCTGCAGGAGCTCCCGGGCCTGATGTACTTGATGCTGCTGTGCTATTCGCCGTAGACTTGTCAGAGGAGCTAGTTGAAGCTCCCCTCTTCTTTTTTATAATGGGTTCGTCTTTGTCGTCCTTTATGGAATCTTCCCGACCACTGCCATCTTTTTTGGATTCTGTGGTAGCGGAAGCCTGCTTAGACCTATTCCCCCTTCCGGAAGAAGCAGTTGCTGTTGCAGAAGTGTTTGCCAACTCTTTTGATGGAGTTGAAGCTCTAGATTCACTGCCACCACTACTGGTTGCACCGCTCTCCTTCGAATTCGTGCCAACGGTCTCACCTTTCTTACCTTTAGCCGTATCTGTAATATAAATCATGATAATCCGATTGTAATTATTATAATTTGCATTAATCTACTCACTTTTTCTATTCTTTTCCTTTTTTGCATCGTGCTCCTTCTGCAGTTCCTTCTGTCTTTGTAAATTGGTTTCGTTGTATTTTAAAACTCGATGTTCCGGCACCCACTCGTCCCAACTGTAATAGAATATATGTTTTAGTGGGCAATTGGAGGTACTTAATCCACTTACTTTTTGTTCCATCCAGCATAGTGAACGAAATACTTCAGTTGTTTGTCCTTGGTGACGGTGCTCTTTAAAGCCTTGGCCTCATATATTAACGGCCCATGGAAGCAGAGCACTTTCTCGCCTAGAAATATGACAGTTGTATTGTGCGGCATTAGCAGCATATAAAAACCAGCTACTTACCTTCGGCGAACTTAAATTTTGGCTGCATTTCAGTTGGGGACGTTATTTTGGCGGATGTTTTGTTTTCTTTCCAAGAGAAGACCTATTCCAAACAAAACTAACAAAAGCGACCAGCTGCGAACGTTTGACCTGCGGGAAGTTAGCTACGTTGCCAACTTTCGATAACACATTTTTTTTTATCGAAAGTACAGGGTGTTGCAAAAATCCCAAATTCTAAAGACCCATACTGAATAGAATTTCAGTAGCGTGATTCTAGCAACTCTAGGAACTTTAGTAAAAAAGATCAGGGTCCAAACTAGTTTTATTGACCTTTCTCCCCACCCCCCTAATGTCTTACTCAAGAGAAAGATAGTTTTATAACCTTTGAAATGATACCCATTTTGTATTTATATTTCCATAATTAGGTTAATAATCCTTACCCCTGAAAAAATTCCAATGATAGTTGAGAATTAGCTATGAAGGACGGGGGTATTTTCGTAACTGTGGAACCCCATGCAGCTGTGGTGAAGTTGGCAATACCAAGAAAATAATTGGCAATTTTTCGTTATTTTGTAAACAATTTCTGGGTTATGGTCTGTTCGCGTGCTGCAAGAATCTACTAAATTTTACTATTTTCTTCGATATCATAAAGGAAAATTCGTTACCGTAGTAAACAGTAGTAGATTCTTGCAGTACTGAAGCTCGATGGTTACTAATAGTCTGGTAATTAATCCTTCTAAGACTAAGGCTATTACTTTCCATCTTAGAAACCGTACGTTCCTTTGTCATCAATTGCTTCTCAATGGCTAACCGATAGAAATTGTTCACTTTCTTAAATGTCTAGGCGTTGTTATTGATTCATATCTCAATTTTAAAGACCATATTAATCTCATCGGTAATAAGGTTTACTTCATTTCAAGAAGGCTATACTGCTTAGCCTTCTTTAGCAATTGAAGCGCAAAAAAATATTTTAATTAATTTTTTAAGAATCGCTTTTAGGCAACAAAGCCCAAAAGGCCATTAATAGTTAAACTATACAAAATAAATGTTACATGACCATAATTCCAGTGTTTTTTTTTAACAAAAATTGTGCATTTTAATTATTTAAAAAATATTTATTCGGTATACAAAAATATCACTCACAATCGACATTTTTTTGCATTAATAAAATCTGTATTATATTATTCACTGACATTTCAGTGAAATGAATTTCCAAAAAATTGAAGGAGCACCACAGAATATGTCATTTGTTGCTCCAAAAAGCGTCACCGGTTTATTTTTTTTCTTGGCCATCTCCACAATAGACGTATAATAAATAAACGTATAATTTCCGTGAAACAAAATATGTTAATTGACTTTATATTTTCTTACTGATCTTGTATACATTTGTTATAATATGTATTTTATTCATGGTACAATTATAAAAGGTAACAGCAAATCCCAGCTGATTTGATTCCAACGTAATACTAGTGTCAATATGAATTTGACAAATTATGTTTTAAAAATCACCCAACAGGAAAATTGGGAACGCATACAATTTGAAATTGTTCTTTATTAAATGTGCTCCTGTATTAAATTTACTCAATCTGCCTGCTGGGAAAGTTTGAGGAAGCAAATCTTTCTTCAAGGAATAACTCGCTATTCCCAGCATTTTCATATGTGTTACACATATATATGGCAATGGCTCAATTATAGGAAAGATGTGGAAGCGATAGAAATATAAATATGATAGATTTTCATTCATGTTTTTCAATTTTTATTTTGAGGATTCGAAAATATTTCATTTTAAAAATTAAAAGTAATTTGATGATAATTTGTTTGTTTGTTTACATTTTTCTGTCAAATGAGTTGACACTAGTAGAACTTACGACAACAAATTTCCATGTGGTTGTTGTATCGTTTTTTGTACAACAACACTTGCTGTTACCTTCTATTATTATACCATGTATTTTATTAAATAAATACATTTAAAAATAAATTTTATGGAGTTTAAGTATTATTATTATTTTTCTTTTTATTTTGTTAAATAGAACGTTTTTCATTTAGTTTTGGACTTTTGGAAAGTGATTGGGGTAACGTACAACAAAAGCTCTTACGACAACCACCGTCGCCGTTCTCCGCCGTTCTCTTCTATAAGTAACATTGGTTCTTTTCCATGGTACAATTATAAAAGGTAACAGCTCAGCTGATTTGATGTGTGAAGTTATACTAGTGTCAATATGAATTTGACAAATTAGGTTTTTAAAAATTACCCAACAGAAAATTTTTTTAGCATAAAATTCGAAATTGTTCTTTAATAATGTCCTCCGATATTCAATTTACTCAATCTGCCTCCTGGGAAAGTTTGAGGAAGCAAATCTTTCTTCATGGAATAACTCGCAATTCTCAGCATTTTCATATTTGTTACTCATATAAGTGGCAATGGCTCAATTAGAGGGAAGATGTGTAAGCGATAGAAATATAAAATTGATAGATTTCAATTCATGTTTTTCAATTTTATTTTAAAAATTCGAAAATATTAAATTTTTCAAATAAATACATTTTTTTTTTTTTGATAATTTGTATGTTTGTTTACATTTTCAGTCAAATGACGTTTACACTAGTATTACTTACAAAAACAAATTTCCATGTGGTTGTTGTATCGTTTGTTGTACAACCTTCTATTATTATAACATGGTTCTTTCCTAAATCTTCGAAATTCTCTGTGGAAACATTGCATATTCTTAAATTTATCTTAGTGGCAATATTGCCGCACCACGAATACTCACCCTGCACTCTGTTAATTAATAGGGTGACAATAAGAATGATTCCATTACCAGATTGGTCGATCCATGCCCACTCACACGTCTTGGCGTCATTTCAGTTCTGTGATATGGCATCACTTTCTTGATTTTGTAATACATAAAAATATATAAATGGTAGTTTGCCCGAACTACTATCAAACAAAATCGTGTTTACGGTTTATGTCTGTGGTGTCACGGAGTCATTTTCCAATAAAATGTTTATTAAATCAATTTCAATAATTCTACACTGTATTTATTGTTTTTATTTTCCATATTATTTTATAGTGGTAGGGATTAAAAAACTCGTTTTTATTTTTAGGTATATCACCAACTGCACTCATATTCCATGTAATGTATCGTGTTGCCACAGCACATTTTTTTGAGTTTATCGTATTTCGAATGCGAGCTGTAGCCACATTATATCCGTTGGCCAATTTCAATGCGTATTGACCGATGCAGTAGAAATGAAGCTTTGCCTAGAATCTAAATAGAAGTTTGTTGTTTTTGTATCATTTTTATTTGATATGTAAATTTTGAATATGGAAATTACATTACTTTGTCGTATACCATGCGAATAAAAAAATTCAAATCTATCCGACCGAAACATAATATAATGGTAACGCTGTGTGGTCGCCATTTTGGCAACTGAACGTACAAGGTGGCAACATTAGGCTGTAGAAACCAACGCTGAATTTTCCTGAACTTTATTTGCTTGCTCTCAAAGTAAAATATTCCCGTTAAAGTGAATACTTTAAATATCCAGCATCTGGTTGATGATAAGAATTTACAAGGATAAAAGTGTCTCATCCTGAACAGTTTCACTTAAGTATTCGGAACTCGGAATAGCGTTGTCAAAAATCTCAAAAGTATTCCATCGACGCAAAATAGAAACAAACAGGACTTCGCCTGCCACAGTACCGCCCCGCCAAATTATTGCAGACAGTAAGTGGTGGAGGTACAGTCAGTGCCGCTGTTCCCGACAATACCCGGAGAATTCGACACAAGTACGGTAATAGGAACAGCAACATTGTACTCGGCCTCACTTGCACCCCCGGCACAGCACCATGGGTGAAATCAAGTCTGTAAAAGTGGACAACTGGGGGGTTTTCTTCCTCCAGAAATTGCAAAATTTCTTCAACAAAACAGATTACTGTGATCTGACCTTACAATTCCGGGATAATTCGCAGCTGAAAGTGCATCGTTTGGTACTAAGTGCTTGTACAGATTACTTCAATGTTTTGGAGCAGACGTGTGAGGTGGTGGATGATGCCATCATCATGCCAAATGGATTGCAGGCAGATGTGGTGGTTCCAATTGTCAATTTCATGTACACCGGCACCCTTGAATTCGAGCTGAAAATGTACAATCGCCTTCTACGCACAGCCAAGGACATGAATATGACAGTCTTGCTGAAACTACTGGAAGCCCATCGGCGAACAATGGAAATGCACCCACAGAAAAATCAAGCAGTAAGTAGCATTGAGTGCTGCAAATGAATCGAAGATTATTTGATATTTTCTTTATTTCTATAGCCTTCCAGTCCTAAGACAAAGCGTAAAATAATTCCATCATATGCCGCAGGTTCCGGTACTCAGACTAATGTTGGTGGACGGACTTTAGTGCAACCCACGGCGAAGCGCATTATTGTTAGCGGCAACAATCCACCACAGCAGCATCGTATGGGAGCTTCTTCAATCACTTATCCACGCTCTGCAACTGGCAATGTAGTGTCTGGAACTGTACCGGTAAAGCAGCAAATTGGATCTACAACCTTTACGCGTATCAAACAGGAAGCAGAGCACGAAGGCGGTTATACATTATCCAAGAAGTCGGTGCCGCAGCAAGCAACGCCTTCCTCGCCATTTGAACAATTGAGAAAGGGATACACAAATAACAACAAGCGGCCCCCAACTGCAACATTTGTATCTCCGCCTGCTAAGAAGCCCAACATAGAAGATGTGAAAGAGTTTGCCGAACAACAACGCATGCGAAAACAAATTGCAGCGGAATTTGGTGATGATGGAGACTACGATGCTGGAATAATGGATGACGACACCATTCACAACGATGACGATGATGACGACATGGCTACGACCACGATGCCTTCTCCTCAACAGGCACAGCAACATAAAAATACTTCTACAGCGGTCCAGACATCGTCTACACAGCAACAACAAACGGAAGATCCTCCGGGCACAACAACAATAATAGTGAAGAATGAAGGACCCGATAAGCCACCCACAATTGTGGTGAAGGATAGTTCAAATTCGAAAATGAATCACGCCAAGATTATATCGGAAGTTCTGCGCCAATATCCGCACTTGGTCAACAGCAATAAGAATATCAAGTTGAAAATTATGCCGAACGCTGGGGGTCAAAGCCAAAAGGTAATTGTGAAGAAGGAACCTACTACCGAATCTGATAACGCGAATGCGCCAACTGTTGCACCCCAACAGACAAAGATTGCAATAGGCGCAAAATCGGATCCAAAGGCAGCTTCAGCTGTACAGCCAAAGCCCAAACAGCAAACTGGAAATGCAACAAGCGTTACTTCGTCTGTTGACCAGACCACAAATAAAACAGCGGACTCAACAACAGGATCTGCCGCTGCAGTAGCTCCACAAGCGGCTCCTGCCCAGAAACGTCGCATCGATAGCAAAACAATGCACGCTTTAATTGCCTTAGGTGCTGAAAATACCACCGGCCCTTGGTTATGCTTACGATGTGGACGCAATGGCCATCCAATCAGCATACCTTCGTATCGTGGTTTCAGGCGCCATCTTATAAATACTCACAAGGAGACCATAGACCCTGCGCTCTGTGAGCATTGTGGTTGGCGTTCGTCCAGCAAACGGGAGTTGCATTTCCATATGCAGTTGGAGCATAAAATTCGAACTAACCTCTACATATTCCCCGAATGCCAGCTATGCCAGCAAATGTGCATTGATAGTGACGCTTTAAATCAGCACCTGATTGACAGCCATCCCGACGAGAATAAACAACAGTGCATTTACTGCAATAAGATCTTCCCCGAGGAACTGCAATTGTATACTCACATGAAAACGTTCCACAAGAAACAAGCGCTAGAGGATGGTATAATTGATTATTCCGACGACGAAAATGTCAACGCTCCGTCTGTATTTCCTCCTCCGAACGAGGATGAGGAAATGTTAATGGAAGAAGAAATCGATGCTCAACAAGATTCGGAAAAGAAAGTAAAAATTCTATCGGACATAAGTTTGCCCATCGCAAGTTCTATCATGAAAACGGATAGCTTCGCATCGGAAAATGTCACCGCAGGAGAGTCGACGACATCGGCAGCATCTGAGGAGTATTTGCAGGAACAGGGAGGGGAGCATATGGAAACTAAATTTGTTGCCGCCGATGGCAGCGAAGTCATCTTAACTGATGAGCAACGAAAGGAAATTTTGTCGCAGTTGAATCAGGAACACGATGGATCCGGCGTGGTAATGGTTCTCAATGAAAACCAACAGCTAACTACTACTGCTGAAACCCAGTCTGAGCAGGGTGCCATAAGCCACGATGAAACGTCACAGGCTACAACAGCCACAACCAATGACGACCCAGAACAAGACGATAGTCATATTTACAGTGAAATTAAATCGCAGACTTCTGAAGCTGTTCATGAAGATGAGGAAGAGGACACAGTCAGTCAGCCGCCTGAAGAAGACATACATGGTACGGAGGAGCAACAAAAACCTAAAGGAGGCAAGGTACATCACGACCAACAGATGGAGGAAAGCAAAGAGTCAATTGACGACTTGGAATGGGCCGAGAATTTAATATCTGAACACGAAATGGCGGATCATACTTCAGAAAGTCCCAAACCAGAGATAAGTACCACTACAGCCGAAGAGAAAATACACAAAGAGGATAAGGTAAGTGAGCATATGTTTGGTTAGTATACGTGAAACTGACTTGGCTAATTTTTATTGTAGAAACCAAAACAAGAAGATAACACAGAAGATGATATTAGTAGGAAACTTAAGGAACTTGCCGGTGAATGGTCGGAAGACGAAGATTTAGACGAGGAAATGGAAGAAAAAATGCCGGAGGAGAAAATGGAAGAAGAATGCTTAGACGATGATGTAAATAAGGTAGTCGATGAAGTGCCAGAAACAGCAGCTCCAGCCGAAGAAGACAAACAATTGGTTGATGAAGACATTGAAACAACAAATGTTGAAAGTAATGAAATTGAAAATGAAGATAAAGAAAAAGATAAGGATGAGGAGGTAGCAGAAGGAGAAGAAGTCAAAGAATCTGAAACTAAAATAGAGGATGATAATATTGCCATGGAGGAAGATGATGTTGATCTGGCTTTGAAAAATCTACACAAAGAGGGAGATGATGGTGTTAAAGCCGAAGAGGAAGCAATAAATGAGTCATCTGAAAAGGCAAATGAGCCCAAAACTGTAGAAGATGTCATAGGAAATATTGCAGAGCTGGAAAAAGTTACCGAAGAGGATAAGGAAACTGAAGTTGACGATACGGACAAAGATAGGATACCAACAGAAGAGGATAAGGTAACAACTACATCTACAAATGATGAGGCATCAAAAAAAGAAGATACCGAAGCAACAGAAACTGCACCTGATGCCACTGTTGTTAGTAACATCGACGAAGAGGAAAAAAGTAGTGTTACAGTGAAAGAGGAAAAAAACACTGCAGATTGTTCTACAGACAAAATTTCAGAGGACGAACCTCCTGTAGAAGACGAATTTTTGGCAATTTCGCCTGAAAAAACAAAAAATTTATCCCCAGATGAGTCTGCCGCAAGCACAACAGCCGAAAAAGAGCCTGATGCTCAGACTACATCTACAAAAACAGATCCCAACCCAATATCGTCGGAGGAGCGTGTCAAAAGTCTTATAAGTGAATGGGGTGACGACGATGACGAGGAAGAGAACGAAACAAACATAGCCACACCCAGTCTATAAGCACCAGATCTCTAGTTGCTTTGTAAGTAAACTATATGATCTGAATTCAAATAATCCCTTCCTGCACTAGGAAATATGCATGATTTTCGTATTTATATAGCGATGAAGGAAAATCTCTGCCCCACACACAACCTTACGTGGTATTCATTACATGGATTACTATTTAGTTCATAATATACATAAATATATTACATTTTTTCGGACACTTGATTACTTCCACGTATTTGTTCTTCTTTTACTTAACGTCCCCACCTAATTTCGTTTATCCATTATTGGCAATATTATTAACTTGTATTAAGTATGAAGTATCCGTAAGACACTTGAATATGTGAAAAATCATATTATTTGAATTGATTTGTATGTAGCAAAAGATGAAATCTTTGTTAAACGTATTTTTCTTTAATAAATATTTTTAACAAAATCCAAATTTGAATTTAACAAAGCCAACATATTACGTCTGTAGATTCCCCCAACGATAAGTATATTTTGAAATATTTAAAAATAGATAAAAAATAGGTGAGACAAAATTAAAGTTTTAAATTCACAGCGAAGGTATTTTATTCGAAGCCTTTTAAAAAGATTTCAGGATTGTACTGATTTCGCAAATACATCTAATTTATAAAGTAACAACAAGATCTTTAATAAAATACTTATTTAAAATGTGATGGATTGGCGCATGAACTAGAAATGGTTGGATGCATTTGCGAAATGTCCAATGCATAATATAAGAATATTTGTTTATTAGATTGTATTTCACTTAGCCAAAATTTAACTTTTTTTGTATATTGCTCCAACAAAATTCGTTTGATATTTATTCATCATCTAATGAAAGAAATAAAAAAATATGAGAATAACAATAATGATAGCATTGTTTTAGCACACTCACCATCCAGGTAATAATTTATTACGGCCATTGTCGCAAATCCCATTGCTACCGTTAGAAATTGAGCAAACCCAGCCACTTTACGTGTGGGATTTTGATGCCATCTTGCCTTCTCTCGAGGAATAACTTCACAGACAGTGACGTATAACAATGTGCCTCCCGCCAAACCTTGGATTACAGCCAAAGCGGATACTGGAAGTAATGACGTGGACATATTTACCAGCAACATTCCCAATCCAATGCCACCGACTGCACCCAAAGCAAAAACCAAAATGCCAATGATTTGCGATTTTGTACTTGCAGAAGGATTGGTACGAAATTCCAGACCGAGGCAGAATCCCATAACAAATTTGTGGCAAGCAACAGCTCCCAATAAAAATAGCACCTAAATAAATTTGAAATATTTTTAATACTTTGGAGTTTCAATTTTTCGTATTTTCCTAGGGATGCCTAGATATGTTACAGTCGAATTCGGATAAGCGAACGCCGGTTTATGGAAAAGATCGGTTAATTGAAATAACAAATTATAAAGGAATATTTCGGATTAATTTGCAAATATGTAATTTCACGTTTTTTCAGACATTGATTGAAAACTTCGTTTAGCCCTGACGAGTTTCGGTTATCCGAATCCTTTTAATTGAAAATTCTGCATAAGAGAAAAAATTTGCTGAAATTACGCGTTTTCGCTTAACCGTTTTCGACTCTATTACATTTTCAGCAGATTATTTGATAACGTGAACATAGTTTTATAAATAAGAATTTCAAATAGATAAATTCAGTAATTTTTACAGTTTGTCACTTTTATATTCTACGTAATGCGTAATTTAATACGCGACATTGTAAATTGTGTTTAGTACGAAACGCCCATACATATTTTATTATTTTTCCATAATGGATTGAAATGCACTTACATATTTTTGACACCATTTGCAACGAAAAGTGGAGGTTCTAAAAATAACCATATTTGTACCACTCAATATAATAAAAATATATTCAATGATAATTATATAGAAATTATTTATAACTCCATATCCAAAGTACGACTTTATAACTGTTTACGAAAATAAGAAAAACATCTATCGTTAACAAATAAAATAACGATTGTGGTTTGCTGTGCATGGGTAACAAATTGTGACAATGTTACGGAATAGCACAGTTGGAAAAATCCGATCAATCTAATTTCGAACAATATTGTATACAAAGTAGCCAATTTCTTTCGTAATGGCAAATTGATATTGTAAATTCAATCAATATAGACAACAATACACTTGATTGTTATTCATTTGGTTTGATGGGGACTTTATTTCTATTGTAGCCGATATAAGGTCCAACAATGTTGAATATGTTTCTCATACAAATACATCCTCCAGTTTAAAATAAAACTATATTGAGATTATAATACATACCTTTGTGGGTGAATCTTGTACACCTATTCCCATGCCTTCCAACGCAGAATGCACAGACAAGGCTACAAATAAGCCCATCGTTCCTGTCATTGATTGAGAACAGGGTTCTGTATGACTAGTGTGACAAATTCTAGCGTTTGCATCTTCAATTTCCTCATCATTACAGTGTGCATGACCAGCATGTGAGTGGGGGGCATGATGACGAGTCCTAAAAACAGAAATAGTTCAGATACAGCTTAACACAATAGAAATCCGTATTTACGTTTCAGTTAACAATGGTTCTGACTCATCATTTGTCCGAAGACTTCCATACTGGCTTGTACTGGGCGCCGATCCATTGTTTGTCGCAGCACCATTATGCGAATGGGAATGCTGAATAGCTTCGCCAAAGAAATAATGGATGAATTCGTCGATAAAATAAATAAAGAAAAAACCTCCGCATATTGAAATTTCCGCCCAGTTTGAATTGATCTGTTTTCGTACCTAAATATGAGAATATTACAAACATTAGTAGTGAACGTATTCTCATCTTCTTTAAGTACTTACTTCCGGTAAAATATGTATTATTGAAGTGGCCAAAAGAACACCAGCGCCAAAACATAACATCAACGACGTAATCAGTGGGAATCTCCGACTACTTCGTTCAGATATAAATGCTGGTAACATGCCAGAAATAAAACTACCAACACCCAACACAAACATGGCCAATACTTTCTCCATTGTACCGCTTCCATTCTCTCCAATTTCGGTCGAGGCATTTAATTCCCTTAGTTTCGGCCATATAAGCTCGTAATTTTGTGTTAAATTCATTTTGCAGCGGCGTTTATTTGAATGTCGAGGAACAAAATATGAATTGGCCTCTTTCTCCCTTAAGATCGATCAAATAACTATGATACGGCTGTGATACCGCCAGATCTAACGTAAGTTTCTATTCAGCTCCCGTATCAGTTAATCTCAGACTTTATTTACATTATGTGTGCTAATTTTGATAGAATAATCAAACAATACAACGTCGTCTTTTGTACATGCGTTTGCTTGGGATGGGGGTGTACATGGATTTGTTGGAAAGATCTTTTGTTTTTGTTATGATTTTGGGTCAGCCATATCAGCACAATCAGCTGTTTTTCTCTCTCTCCGTAAACATCCCAGTGGGAAAAGTGAGAACGTATTACATTGAGAATCGATTTAGTAATGCATTGTACTTATTTAATAAGGAAACGATGTCACAAACGCATATCGTTTCTTGTGGTTGTTGTATTTTCGATTACATATAACGCGACGGACTGCTCAACGCATGCTCGCCGATAACGATTGCTTTTTGGTTCACCTGTTAAATGAACTTTGGTGAAATCGATTCAACACAATAACCATTTAGCGTGGTTTTATATTTGCCGGGATCGGGATCGGTGTTGAGAGCCTCTCTCTCTCAGTGGTAAATTGTGAATTGTGTTGGAAAACATTGCCACAGGTAGGAACAAAAAAGTACGAAAAGGTACCTAAAATTCTACTTCAAATGATAATAAATCATAATTATCGAGAAATATTGGCCAATATTTATACCAGTTGTTTGCATAAATAATATATGTTATAATTTAAGCGTAAATGTATTCACGAATAATAAAAAATATAATTTTTGTTTTGGTACGTTTATGTCAATTCGTACCTTTTGTGAACAAAAAGTACGCTTATTACAAAATTAAAAATAGCGCAACTCTAATTACTCTCTCAAGAGAGAGAAACTCTCAACACCGATCCCGATCCCGACAAATATAAAACCACGCTTAACATGTCAAGAAATATGTAATCGCTATCGGCAATTTTGATTGATATTCCCCCAATGTTGGTCTGTTTCCGTAAAGCAAGAATCTACTAGAATTTACTATTTTCTTCTGATATGCATTCGAACAACGAAGTTCACTCTCGGAATTATGTACACGAATTAACACATTCATCCATTAAAAACTTTTCAGCAACATCAAATTAGTCCATTTAATAGAAACAATCATTGCATTGAGTTCCGAAATTGACTTTTAATTTAATTTATTTCGCTTTCTTGCAACAAAGCCTGCATGGCCATTGATAGTTAGACAATACAACAACAGTATTCAATATCCCATTTCGACCGCCTTATTTTCAATTCGACAACCCTAGTTTTCAACTCAGACTCAACAATAATCGAAAATAATAATTCCGATACGTTTTCTCCGTGAATATGTCATTTGAACCACTCGACACAACTACAAGATAAACATCTGTTTATGTTGACATCCAACTTTCGAACCAACAAGAACAAGAAGAAAGCATCAGTTCATAAGCAGTAGCGTATCGATGCCAAGACGAAGTAAACGTTAAGATATTCATAAATAATTAATTGATTTTTGTTTAGAGCGGTTAATGAACTCTGTTACAAAAACATAACAACAAGTCGCAACCTCTTGACTCTGACCGCTGAATCGACCAAATGAAAGAACAACAAAACGTAATGAACAGCTTAACATGCGAAATATGAAAGGCCTGCAGCGATTATATTTCGTACATTTCGTTACTCGGTTGTGCGATTGGCCAAGTCAGCATTAATTAGATAAACTTTACTGCTTAGCTATCAGCCCCCACGACGTGTAACCAAAAGCAACAACAAGAATCATTTAAGTTCTAAGTAAAGGCGCGTATCGGAGCGATATAAAAAATGTCTAATAGGGCACCTGATATCATTATATGGTAAGTATGATTGTGTACTGCGCTTTGGTTGGGTAAACTAATTGTGTTTCATATTCCTTTAGCGGGTTCTTCGTCCTGACCTTACTCGTAATCCACTTCTTTTCGGATATATTAAGAACAGCTTTGGGAGGGGACTATGAATCGCACAGAACTCTTTCTCAGCTGGTGGATGCCCAAGCGAAAGAATACTCATGGATTCTAAAACTCCTTGTTAATTGCTTTGGTTATAGTTGTGTTTTTGTTCCCGGTCTGCTAATTTATAAGTATGTCCAGCGCACAAATTACTTGGAAAAGAGTGGTAGGTTTTTGCTGGCTTTCTATTTCGTTATCGTTTTTCACTCACATTTGCTTAATTTTTTAGATAAAACCTATATACATGCTGCTGTTAGCATGTGTATTAATGGAAATACCGGGTTCGATGGCGAACGCGACGAACCATTGCAAAAAAGTGGCGTGGAATCAGTGGTGGCTGGACCTTCACCTCCACCCGCCCAAAAGGCAACTACTCCCAAGCGGACCACATCGCAGGAAGCCATATTGCTGATCTGGTGTTTTGGAGGTCTCATGATTTCCTATCTAACCTGGGGTGTGTTACAGGAAAAAATTATGACACAGGAGTACTATAATTTCGAAGGCGTGAAATCTCATTTCAAAGATTCACAATTTTTAGTTTTCTCGAATCGTCTTCTGGCCTTCATCGTAGCCTGCATTGTGTTGCAATATAAGCGACCAATGACCCGTCACAAGGCCCCACTCTACAAGTATTCATTTGCATCGTTTTCGAATATTATGAGTGCCTGGTTCCAATATGAGGCTTTAAAATTTGTCAATTTCCCCACCCAAGTATTGGCAAAATCTTGTAAAATAATTCCTGTGATGTTGATGGGCAAAATCCTATCAAAAAATAAGTACCAATGTTATGAATATTTTACGGCAGTTCTTATATCACTGGGTATGGTGTTTTTTATGATGGGTTCCGCGAGCAGCGATAAGTCAAATGGTGTCACCACAATAACAGGCATTGTGCTGTTAGCCATGTACATGATCTTTGATAGCTTTACTGCCAATTGGCAGGGTGACCTATTTAAAGCGTACGCCATGACACCACTACAGATGATGTGTGGAGTGAATTTGTTCTCGACTATTTTTACAGCTGCTTCCCTAAGTGTACAAGGTGGCTTCATCGATTCCCTAACATTTGCCACGGAGGTAAGCCATATTAAAGAATTTAACAATTAAACATATAAATGATCCATTTGTGTTTGATAGCACCCGAAATTTGTTTTTGATATTGTGGTACTGTCAATAAGTTCGGCAGTAGGTCAACTATTCATTTTCTACACAATATCAGTTTTTGGACCAGTTGTGTTTACCATAATAATGACGTTGCGACAGGTAAGTAAACAATTCATTCATAGGTATATTGTGATATGTTTAAACTTCTTTCGGTTGTTTACTAACGATTTGTCTTTGTTGATGTTGTTGTACACTTCCAGGCCACGGCTATCTTACTTTCATGTCTAATTTATCATCATAGCATCTCAGTTTTGGGAATACTCGGAGTTTTGGTTGTGTTCGTTGCCATCTTTATTCGCGTGTATTGCAATCAACGGTTAAAGCAAATGCGGAAACGTGCTGAGGCACACAAACCGAAAATGGCTGTTTAGTAGAGAATTGTTTTGTATTTATACACATTGATCACACTCACTTCCCCTTTGAATGTTACGATAACGACAACGTATGAACGAAATTAAGAAAAACCAATGAATTTAATTAGCAGGCGCCTAATGTTTATGTTCTTTAATGCCACTGAATCGCTCAAATTAGGTGCTAAGATTTAAATACTTAATTTAACGCATATGTGTACTGAATTTGTACATGGTTTTATATATGTATGTAAGATTAAACAAAGGTTTTTATTAAATATATATTTATAATAATAAATATAACAGTATATGTAAAGTTAGTTTTTAAACGAGACCCAATCTACTCTCAATATAGTTAAAGGAATAAATAAATATCATTAAATTAATAAAATTGATTTATTGAACGCCTATGTAACAAGAACAATTTTTAACTATTTGTCTATTATTTTGTCTATAATATTGAATTTAAGCTATTTTTCGTCTGTTTTTTTTTTTTCGTTTCAATTACTTTTCTGATACCTGGAATTTCTACATGACGGAATCTTATTTTAAATATTAGGTTCATTCGTTTACTCAATAATTTGTACAAATTATTACATAATGTTGTTCGTTTACCCAAAATCCCAGTAAAAGAGAGTGAATTGAGAGAGCAGATTTGACAGTTGTGTTACTGAGTATTTGCAAATTCTTACAAGGAAAATTTACTCAGTAAGAATTTTCTTGTACCATCAGCTGATATTTAATCTGCTGTTTTGTTATGTTTTGTAAACAAACAAAAAATTGTTCTCAAGAAAATTTATTGTTTTGTGAATTTAATTTTGATTTTGTATCATTAAATACAAAAATGGTTGAAGAAAACGCAAGTATTTAAAAATAAGGTAATACAAGAGTAATTGGCGAACGATTTTTTAGGTTACAAACCACTGACTCCATATACACCGAATCTGTAAACATCAATCAACATCAATATATTTCCAAATAAATAGTTAAAACTTACCGGTCACAACCCTTTTAAATGTTTGTGGAGAACAAACAACATCAATTTTCCGCTTGTTATCCATTTTTCTAATAAAAATGCTGTTTTTTAGTTTGCGCCAAATTGTTTGTTGTTTTAATCAGCTGTGTCGAAACAATCTTTTTACTGGATGTTGTTCGTTTACTTTTTGCAGTTTTTCTCTCTTGAAAAGGAAAAATTCGTATTTACTCTCTGCAAATTCTTACTGAGTAAATATTACTGGGAAAGTAAACGAACGAACCTAATGTTTATACACTTCACCACACTGTGGTACAGGGTATTATGTCTTTGAGCATATGTTTGAAACATGCAAAAGGAAATGAGATAGACATATGGTTTTGGGAATATGCATAGAATCACTTTCTGAGTCGATTTATGCATGTCCGCCTGCCCGTCCGTCTGTCCATGTTAAATTGTAAACAAAGTGCAGGTCGCATTTATTATCCGAATTGAATGAAATTTGGCATAGGTCACTTATTTGGGCCAAGGACGAACCCTATTGAAATTGAGAAAAATGGTTTCAGATTTAAATATAGCTCCCAATTATATTTTCGTAATGTAAATGGTATTCCAAAGTCCCTATATATTTGCACGAAATTCAGCATAGCGCACTGAATTAGTTATAGAATGATGTGTCAAGTTTCCTGAAAATCGATCCAGATTTAGATATAGCTCCCATATATATTTTCGTCCGATTTAATGTAAATGGTGTACCAAGTCCCTATATATGTTTCGATGTGCACGATATTTGGCACAGCGTACTGAATTAGGTCTAGAATAATGTGTGTTAAGTTTCACGAAAATCAGTCCAAATTAAGATATAACTCCCATATATTTTTTCTTCCGATTTTATGTAAATTGTGCACTAAAGACTCAACGTTTGTCCTATTGCCACACAATTTTGTACAATAAACTGTAGTTAATATAAGTTAATTTCTGGCAAGTCTCATTTAAATCGGTTCAGATTTTGATATAGCGTCTGTTAGGATTCATCTGTTGGTTATACCTAAACTGGTGAAGGGTATCATATAGTCGGCCCCGTCCGACTTTACTACTTTCCTTACTGTTTTTTTTTTTGTGATTCGGCCGGATTTTTAAGACTTTCACCTATGGACAGATACCTACATCGGCTACGCGCAATATTCTATTTCAAAGGAGTTTTTGTCGTCTTTCCTGTGTGGCCGGCCGTCGGCCGGGGGTTTAAAAATTTCTCCTATGGACAGATACCGGCTACGCGACAGAATCTCCTGGTAAATATAAATGGTTTTAAGCACAAGATAGTTTTTCGATCTGATAATCCTGGTGTTTGCGAGTCTATTTTTATCGAAATTATTTTAGATTCAAGAAAGATTTTATTTGGTGTGGTGTATTTGCCACACGGCAACATATCTAGCTTTGAGGAGACACACCAACAGATTTTATCTCAATACGAGTATATTGTTATTGCCGGCGACTTTAATTGCAACCTATTCGACATTTCCAAATCTTCTGAAATGAGGAGTATTTGCCTCCGTCTAGGTCTTTCTATTGGTCATAACTCGTTGCCTTCGCATTTGAATATCGCTACGGACTCTGTTTCCTTAATTGACTATTTTGCTTATAGCCAATCATGCTCTTTCGTTTTCAACGATCAAGTACAAGTTCCTTCTATTTCACATCATTCCTTAATCTTCGGTGCCATCGATGTTAATATTACTTCCACACAACACTTTTTTGAGTACCGTGACTACAAAAATATTGATTGGGACAGTTTACACAATTATATAGTTGAAGTTGATTTTGGTACTATTTATAGAACATCTGATGTTGATACACAGCTTTCATTTCTTGATTTCCTTATTGCGAATCTATTTTCTTTCGTCCCTATTGTTAAAAAACGTATAGTGTCTTGCATGGAACCATGGTTAAACAGTAGACCTATAATTCTTTCAAGTTCATTGCGAGATATTGCCTACAGGAACTATTTAAAATATCCTACGCAGCAGAATAAGGCTGTGTATCGCACTCTTAGGAACAAAGCTAAGAGTGTTCTTAGAAATGAACGTAAGAAATATTACGTCAAATATTTTAATGGGTTAAACGCGACACAGATTTGGAGACAGCTTCGTTCCGGCGGTATCGTTGGTAGTGACACTAACTTTACAACTGATTTAGATGTTGATGTTTTAAATTCATATTTTACTGAGAACAACAGTATTAGCAATGCGTATGTAGATTTACCCGATATTGATAGACAAGAATATACTTTATCATTTAATTGTGTTTTTGAAATTGATGTTTTTAAAGCTTTTCAGCGGGTTAAGTCCCAATCTGTGGGTATAGATGGTATACCTATTAAATTTTTAAAACTGATTTACCCATACATATCTAGGCATTTGACCTACTTTTTTAACACTATGTTTACTACATCGGTCTTTCCGCAAGCGTGGAAAGTTGCTAGAGTAGTCCCCATTCCCAAAGTTAAAGAAACACCGACTATAGAAAATATGAGACCAATAAGCATTTTACCCGCACTTTCAAAAGTTGCCGAGCACCTCATATTGGAGCAAATTCAAGAATTTATTGATGAGCGGAAATATATAAATGAATACCAATATGGTTTCAGGCGTGGGCTCAGTACTACATCTCTCTTAGTAGACTTAACTGATCTTATCAGAGAGACAATTGATGGAGGTGAAAGTGGTGTTCTCGTGGCCCTGGACTTATCCAAGGCATTTGATTGTGTAGATTATTCGAGACTAATTCAAAAACTACGATCTAATAATGCTTTTGATAATACAGCTTGTAATTTAATTCTCTCCTATTTGTCTGGGCGTTCCCAGTATGTTTCATTAAATGGCAAGACTTCTAATAAACTTAATATATACAGTGGTGTACCCCAAGGTTCAATTTTAGGTCCCCTTCTTTTTGTTTTATATGTGAATGACATTGGTAACTGTTTACATAATAGCGGATGTCGACCGTTTTTATATGCCGATGATATTCACTTATTTTTTATTGGCAAATCTAGTTCCCTATTGGAGTTTAACATTAACAATACCTTGTCCGCAGTATCGCGTTGGTTATGTAATAATAACCTAGTAATAAATGTTACAAAGACAAAAGCAATGGGATATGGTCCTTTATGTCGCCTCAATAGTATAGATATACGTGTTAATGGATTAATTATTGAGTTCGTTGATCGCATAAAGTGCTTAGGAGTTATTGTTGATAGCTAACTTGATTTTTCTGCTCATATTGATGCTCTACACCCTAGAGTAATGAATATTCTTCGAAAATTATACTCAACTGAATTCTATTTGCCACGATTTGTAAAGATAAATCTTGCTTATTCTCTGTTAATATCGCTTATGGTATAGAAGTTGTATCTGGCACCACACATGAGCATTTTAACAAAATAGAAAAATTGTTCAATATGGTTGTAAGGTACGTTTATAATTTACGTCGATCAGATCATGTTTCAGCTTATGCGGCTGAATTTCTAGGAGTACCGTTTTCTGTTTTCGTAAAGAAAAGAGTTATTTCATTTCTATATAAATCTGTCACTTTAGATCTTCCCGGTGTCCTGCGTGATCGACTTGTTTTCTCTAGATCTACCAGGAACACTCAGTTAATTTTCCCGCGCTATTCCACTTGTTTATATGAAAGATCTTTTATTATTCGTTCGTCACGTTTGTGGAATCAACTTCCTGTTGAACTACGACATTTTTCTTTTTCGCGCAGTGTATTTCAACGCAAGTTTGAAGATTTTGCTGTTAATTACATGCTGGACTAATGTATTTTTTAATTTGTTTGGTAGATGCGACTTTATTCAGTTCTTTTGCTTAGATATTACCAACAATAGTCTTTACTGCTTTATTTTTACATGGCTGGAGAGCCTTTTCTGCTTTGTAGTTTGTTAATTAAAATCCATATATTATGTTAGTATATGAACTGTTTAGTTTTAAAATGAATTTAAATATGCTTTAAAGTTTGTTACATAGAATTCATAATTTATATTAAGATATATACTG